GACCACTGAGCCACACCTCAGCCCCTCACGGGGGGATTCTAGGCAGGGAGAAGATACTACTGTTCTATCACACTCCTTGGCCCCCAGTTTTGTTTGTTTGTTTGTTTTGTTTTGATTTGATGTGTTTTCAAGACAGGGTCTCATTAAATTGTTGAAGCTGGTCTTGAAATTACTCTGTAGCCCAGGCTGATCTTGCACTTTTGCTCTTCCTGTTTCAATTTCCTGAGTAGGTGAGAAGACAGTCCTTCCCACCACCCCTCACTATGTTCTGCAGTTCTCCTTAACTCTTCCTGATTCTGTCTGTGTGGCTAGCTGCTCTCAGGCTATTCCTGTGTTTGGTGACATGTACCACACATAGAGCTGATTAGATACAGTCAGCTGATTAGACCGCAGAAAAGCCTGCTGTTGTGCAGAGGGCACGAGGTCTTCAGGTCTTCACAGATAACACACTGGAGAATCCAGGAATAATCCAGGCAGGTGCTATATAATTATGTGTGTGTGTGTATATGTATATACATATATACTTTATAGCTCACTGATCTCTAGGCTATCTCAGAGACCACAGATCCTAGGCCCTTAAGCTATACAACCCATCTTCATGGTCACATGTACTTTGCAAAGGAGCTTCCTCACAGTTTGTTTCTCTCCCAGCTGTGAGGCCTGCAGGGACCCCTGAACTGTTGCACTTATCTTTTCCTGACCAGCGGTGACCTTGAAGACATTTTGTGTATGTGTAAGCGACACATCCACCGAGTCTGTAAAACCAGGCTCAGCTCTGCCTCCGACGTTCTCTGTCATCTGTAGAATTTGCATTGCTCTGTTGGCTGCTGCCTGGTTCTGCCGACGACACGTTTAATGAATTGAAGACACGGGGTACAAGTGAGTCAGTTTCGGTCTCAAGACTTCACCATTTTTAGGGCTGCCAGATGGCACAGTGGTAAAGGTGGCTGTGGGCAAGCTTGGCAACCGGAGTTTGATCCCTCGAACCCACGTAAGGAGAGAGCTGACTACAGGTTGTTTTCTGATTTCTACACAAGCACTGGTGCAAACACACACAAACACACAGGACACACACACGCACACACACTTACACAAACACACACACAACAACACACACACATGCCTAGGCACCATCACAAATAAATGAAAATAAAGTAAAAAAGACTTCCCACTCAGCAACTCTTCCTTCCCCAATGTCCTGGTTCTTCCCTAACCCATGGAGGTGTTGAGGCATCCGTGCCCAGCGCCAGACCCCCCCTGCTCCTGCCTTCGGTGGGATTGCTGGTAAGAAGACGGTATCAGCAAACCAAAGCCACCTTCGAGAGGACCTGCTCCATTTCCAGCTCTCTGGGAGCTCTAGGCTTTCATAGCCTGAGACCTGGGCAAGCCAGCTTGGAAATTCATCAGACACAGAAGATCCTCAAGCTCAGGCCCCACTCCAGGAGTCCATCTGACCCCAAGCTCCTGTTCTTCCCCACTCCCCAGATCACCCCATCTGCTGGTCCCCTGCAGAGGCACAGACAGGAAGGGGGTGTGGCCAAGCTTATGAGATTTCACTTACTTTTACTCTCAGAAGCTGCTAGGGACTCCGACGAGTGAGCACACAAGGACGCAGGTAAAAACCATTTTTGATCTTTTCTCTTGCTCTCAACAAGTAAATGTGGAGTGGCCGCCTGTGCTGGCCTCAAGGACCTGCTGTTTTCTTTTTATCTAACTCCCGATAGGCACAGACAGACCCCTGTCTTTCAGCATCTCCTTTGCTGGGCTTTCTGGGTCTTCTGAGGTAGAGGAAGCTGTTGGATGCCCAGAAGGGAATGATGGGACTGGGAAGCCAACCCTGAGGCTCTCGGGAGGTCTCAACTGAGTGGACCATAGATCCCGACACTATGGCCCTGTGCTAAGCTCCTGGACTTAGTAACTGTTGCTGCGTACTCTGCTCCACAGCCTCATCCACCAGTCCCCAGGCTCAGCTCCCTGCTCCTGGAGACTACTGGAAATCCCTTGGGTAGCATCTTTGCTCTGGAAGTGCCTCCTTGCCGCTCAAGCTGCGTTCTCCGGCTGGAGGAGCCTCCAGAGAGGCACAGTGGTCCAGCACCCACTGACTGGTGCCACAGCTCCTTGTAGCAGCCCCGAGGGTGTACCCAAGTGAGTCCCTCTGAGCAGAGTGCGCAGTCCCTCGAAGCTTTTGATGGAAAAAATTAAAATAGGTCTCATGGCCCAAGAAGTTCCCGTTAGACAGCTTGAGAAGTCCCTCAGCAAAGCCTCCGGTTGAACTCAGCTTTTCACAAGTGGCTGTGGCCTTGGAGGTATCTCTGGGCAAGGCGTTCCCTGAACCTTGGGACCCTGAAAACTGACATCAGCTCTGCCTCAAATGGTCTGCCCCAGCCTCAGTCCACTCCCCTGTTATACACACCCGGGCCAGGCCAGTGCCCCATGCTGGGGACAGGACCCAGCCTGCTTTCAACAAGTGGACTAGTTTTCCCTGCACCTGGTCCTGGGCGCCCACCTGTGCCCTGCAGCCTGGGAGAGGGGGAGGTGCTGGTAGGGGAGGTGGGAGAGAAGGGACACAGCTCTGCTCTGACACCGGAGACACACTCCGGCTGCACATCCTGCACGATCCCTGGGGGCTGACGCGGAGGTCACAGCCACACGAAGAGAGTTAAATTTAACTCTGTGTAAAGCGAAAGATGGTGGCGGACAAGCTTGTTGCAGAGAGAGAGACACGGAGAGAGACAGAGAGAGGATACCCTGGATATCAGCGGCTAACTGGTGGCCTTTAACACAGTGAAGTTCGGTCAGGCCACCACTGTGTGTTTCTGTTGCTGAGGTTTTTGAGACATGGTCTGGCTTGGCAGGACAGACTAACCTGTACTCACAAACACAGGCTCCTAAGTGCTGTACCCACCATGGCTGGCCCTGTGTATTGTTTATAAAGCAAGACCTTTCTCATGGCAATCCGGCTTCTTCCTTGTGGTAGATATCAGACAATGGGGGAGGGGTACCCCAGTCCCACCTGGTAACAACTGGCTGATGCTGTTAGAAGAGGAATGACTTCATCTTGTTTTCTGTCCGCCTTGGGGCTCAGGAGGAGGTCATTTGGAGCACTCTCTGTTTCTAAGGCTTTCTTACTCCCACAAAATGTTCTCCTGATGCCATACTGCACTATGGGTCCAGTTTTCCTTTTTGGGATAGTACTAGGGAGTGAACCTAGGGGCCCTGATTGCTAGGCAGGGGCTCTACCCCTGACCCACACCCTCACTGAGGGGATTC